AATTTATTTCACCAAAATCCTTTTTAAAAGATTTCGGATCATCAGCTAAACACTTCCAACAATGAAATAAGAAGAAAAATGTTTCTTCTCATTTCATTGTTGGAAGTGTTTACCTGATGATCCGAAATCTTTTAAAAACGATTTTGGTGAAATAAATTATTGTAATGCTACCTTAAAGTGGTCTGTTTTTCATTAAATATTAGCTGTTCTTCATTGAGCTCTCAGGATTTCATCCTCCTTGGATTTACCAATTCCGTTTACCAAGTTCTTTATAACTTAAATATATATATATATATATATATATATATATATATATATATATATATATATATCTGGGATGAGCTATTATGTACAGTATTTACATTGTTCGGACTATCAACATCATCTTCATCATCATCTTTTTACCATAATTATCACAACGATGTATCCTCCTGCCTTCTTCTTCTGGTGGTTGGAAAGTCGAACTAAACCCTTTATTATCCTCACTGGGGTAGACTGTTCTAGTTCCACGTGGAATGGATATCAGTTATCCGTTATCTACTGTTAATTCCTCTCTATAATTTCTCCACTGCCTTAAACATGTATTGAACTCACACACTTTGGGGACTGTCACTGGATCTAACTAACGCCTGTGCCATGTGTCCTCAAGCTCCAATACGAATATTCTAGAGTGTTTGGGTGTCAATGTGAGGACAGTGGAGAGTATTCGGATAAAGTTGAATGTGTCTAATGGTGATTACGAAGCTGCTTGCAGTGATAACTAGTGATAGCGACGTTATGCTTCCATTCATCTTCCCACAGAGCTTTAGACTCAACAAGCAGAGGCATACAGCAAGTGCCTTGATGAAGGTGTGCTGCTCTGGGTCAAGTGGGTGGCTGCTAGAAGACCCTATATCTGCCGAAACGTCTCTGCACCATGTCATAGAAGCAGGAGAACCCAATCATTGCTGTCAGACAATTTCTGCGGCCTTATCGCCACTTACATCCTGGCTACCTAACTCCCTAGACTGAGCGCTTGATTATTATGTGTGGGGCGTAGTTAAGCGAAAGGCCAACAAAACGAGATGAACTGAAGGCAAGATTTTGACAGCATTCACCAACTTAAACAGGGAGTACAAGCAGAAGTGTTGCAGAAGATTGTCTAGAGGCTGCTGTTGAAGCCAATTGCGATTCTTTGAAAAAATTATTATTTCAAGATATTATTATTTCAAAATATTTTTGTGTAATGTTGGTAAATATATCTGTTAAAATGACATGACAGTGCTATTTTCATTTTTCGTAATTTAGACGACGCTGTATCCATCGGACATTATATATATATATATATATATATATATATATATATATATATATATATGCGTGTGTGTGTGTGTGTGTGTGTGTGTGTGTGTGTGTGTGTGTGGATATAATATTAGTGGCAGACTCTCGGTCTATTTATTAAACACTATATTTATTTTCGCCTATCGGTATGCTTTCCTCTAGGGGAAAACGCCATTAGTTCAGATGTGCTTTAGTCCTGTCCACCATGGAGTGCGTCGATGTTAAAGAAAATTTGAATAGAACCTTTAAACACAGATTTTTTTTTCTGACTCTCGAAATAGACATATATGCTCAGCTTCATATTTCTAACATAAACCAAGCAATTTGTAAAGAAAGGGCTGAGTTTTTTAAAATTAACTCGGCAAATTTTATAACTTAAATTTTATTTTGTTTAGTGGACACTCCTATTTGAGAAGACCTCCCGTTTATTTATTAAACAGAATATTTATTTATTTTCGCTTAGGGGTCTGAATGTTCGGGAAATCTTATTAAAGAATTATTTTCTATGATAATCTTTGGTGTAGTTGCTTAGTGCGTGACGGATCCAAATTGCACTCCCTGTCCAAAGCGGCACAGGCTTAAATCCTGCCAGAGAGCCTAAATTTTTCTTTAATAGGATTTCTCGAACTATCAATCCGGTATATATATATATATATATATATATATATATATATATATATAGTGTAACCCGGATATAAGAGACCTGGATATAAGAGAAAACTGGATATAAAAGAGATTATCGCTGGTCCCAAATTAGAGCCTGTGGTAATGTATATAAAATAGACCAAACCCGGATATAAGAGACGTCTTCTCCGGTCCCGACAACTCTCTTATATCCGGGTTACATTATATATGTATATATATATATATATATATATATATATATAGTTAAGTTATGAAAAACTTGGTAATCCGTATGGGTAGTCCCAAGGAGGATGAAATCCTGAGAGCTCAGCGTAAATCCAGAGCTAATATTTTAAAGAAAAACAGACTACTTAAAGGTTCCATTATAATAATTTATTTCACCAGAACCCTTTTAAAAGACACTGGATCATCAGATAGCACTTCCAAAAGATGAAACGAAAAATTGGTCTGTTTTTCTTTAATATATATATATATATATATATATATATATATATATATATATATATATATATGATGTTTTGACGAAAACGAAATGAATTTAATTAAAGAACGTAACTAATAATACCAAAAAAACAGAATATTCTTAACAATTAATCTATGCCCAGGCTTTTTCCCTATTTCACCTTTCTTAACAAAATTACTGCTCTCCCAAACAAACGTACACAACAATATCGAAAAATGAAAAGAAAATGGTTGAATCCGCCAACACAGTTATAATGACAATATTCTCCACACGTGACAATAACTGACGTTATTTTCAGTTAACAATATGAAAATAGCGTTCTATACATTCTTCCAGTTGCTAAGAACATTGTGTTTTTTGTTATTATCAATTATGTTCTTTAATTAAAGTCATTTCGTTTTTTGCTGTAAGAAAATCCAAATTGGACGAAACGCGTCAACAATAACTACAGTTTTCGTATTGTCATTTATATTTATAAATATTGTCTTTTCTAAAGGTTAACTCTGAGAAATTTGCATATATATATATATATATATATATATATATATATATATATATATGATGTTTTTGATTCCTTTATCCATGATATCATCAATAAATTTCATAGGCTTAAGCCGCATTTTGTTAAAAAATGTCCAGTTTTTTGCGTCTACCCTTTATTGGTTCAGACGAATAGCTTTATTTTTCGCCTAATGTTCTGGTAATATTTGTTACCCGTCCTGTTTTCTCTTCCATTCGTAAGGACGTCCTCCGACCCACATCATGTTAATTCAATGATTTATAAACATAAGTGTAGTTGTGGACTCGACTACATAGGGAGGACGTCCCACCGTTTGTATCTGAGAATAAAGCAACACTTACCCTGCCAGGATTTTGAATCCGGATACCAGTAAAAGTCAACAAATCAATACTTCTGGTTCCTCTATTGTGTTTTTGATTTTAGTTTGGACCGTTTCTCGATTTTATCTATGTCCCACTCCTCATATCACTTAAAGGTTCAAGAGTCCTTGTATATCAGATCCCGTGGGCCTTCCCTCTTTAAACATAGGGAATGCATACTGGGTCTGAATGTTATTGGACTCTAGATTTCATGAAATTCATATTTTTTCCACTCCATTCGTTATATTAATTAAATTTACACGCTTATTTTTTTTATACCCCAGAAATAATAAGGCTACGACGAAATAGTTTTTAATTTTTAGCTTTTTAAAAAGCCATGTAAATGTTACTTCTTCCTAGCTATCGATATATATATATATATATATATATATATATATATATATATATATATATATATATATATAGTTTAATAAATAAAAGAAACGTTTACTCAAATACAGTACCCACTAGAAATAACATAAAATGACTGATCCATATGTTGAGATGTTTGAAGTGTTTTGTATTTTTTGATTCTACATTTTTATTTTTATTTTTTTTTAGGATGGATTTAGGGTAGGTGCCATCATGGTTTTCGTTTTAATTCCAGATCTTTTTATTTTTTCTGTGTTGGGAAAGTTTATCTTGAGTCCTATTTATTGGAACATTGATGGGGAACAATTCCATTACTTGCACTGTCCAGCAATGTCAGTTTTCAAATAGACTCCTCAGTCCCCGATCCATAATCCGATTTAGAACACTTACACTCCTCTAAATGAGAACCGATATACGTCATATGTTAGGACGCTGGAGAGGCGAATTAAGCGTCGCCTCCCGCCTCATACGAGCCTACTCCTAGCCTCATCTCCTCTAGGGATAAGCTTCATAATCGAACTTGTTTTGTCGTTGTCACGTAGACATTGATTAATCCACATCTCATCGTTACAAAATAAGATCTATTCCAGACCCCGCTAAATGTCGAAATATAATACTTCTAGAGGCTAAAACGGTTACGCATTTTAGAAGCTTTCCAAATTTACTGAAACCTATTAAAGAAAGTAGAGGTTGATAGATAAACGCATTCTGATGTTATTCACAGTGCTGAAACTTGCTAGGGCTTTTGCTTTAGATATCTTGAAGACGTCTGACAGGGTTTCGGATGCTAGACTTCTTCAGAATTTTAATGGTTATGGTGCTTCTGTCGGAAATTTTGATTTGATACAATCGTTCTCAACAAGTAACAAAATGAAGCTTATCTTGAACGGCTACAATTCTAGAACATTCTAAATAAATACGTTGTCTCGCTAATAACAATTACGAACGAGAAGTGATTTCGATCCACATTGGGCGCAATATACTATCGGCCTTTGGGACACATCTAAGCGACGCTTGGAAAATCACCATTCAAAATAAACGCGACTCGCAACCAGGGCTACATTCACAGAACTATTTTGTCCCTAATTTCAACAAAGACATTCTCGATGCCACCAGTTCTTGTATCGGAATCTATACCGATTTTGCAACTATTTACGTCGGAAATAACGGTAAGGCTGATAGGTTTAATGAATTTAAATTGGCCGTTGATCTCGGAAATGAAGTTGGGTCTGCTTTAATTTGGAGAAAAAAAAGGTATGTTAATTTGAACGCCTCAAAAACTAGACCTCTCTTTTAATCATCTTATGCTTAGGGCCCAATATCATTGAAACACCGGTTTCTGTACGATCACCGAAGTTAAGCAACGTCGAGCCTGCTCAGTATCTAGTTGATTGACTGCTTGGAAATATCATGTGCTGTAAGCATGTATGTGAGAGTTGTATGGCTTACAGAAATTTCAAGTTGAAATACTGGTTCTCGTACGATCGCTGAAGTTAAGCAAGTTTGAGCCTGATCAGAACCTAGATGGGTGACAGCTTGGAAATATCAGCTAGTATGGCTTACGGCTATATCACGTATGATCACCGAAGTTAAGCAAGTTTGAGCCTGATCAGAAACTAGATGGGTGACTGCTTGGAAATATCAGCTAGTATGGCTTACGGCTATATCACGTATGATCACCGAAGTTAGGCAAGGTTAAGCCCGGTTGTATGGCTTACAGAAATTTCAAGTTGAAATACTGGTTTTCGTACGACTGCCGAAGTTAAGCAAGGTTTATTCTGGTCAGTAACTTGATGGGTGATGCTTGGAAATACCAAGGTAGTATGACTTACAGCTATATCTCGTATGATCACCGAAGTAAAGCAATGTGATTTATTCGACAAATATGACATAAATGTGTTATAAAATCAATGAAAAATAGCCATTTCGTTTCAACACTTCTTGTGTCATATCATAGTGCTGATGGTGAAGCGCCAGATGTCATGAAACAAAATTGTTAATATTCATTGATTTTTCGAATTTTCGAATAGATTATATTTTCTCTACTTTGTATTGAGCATTCTTTTATGGATAGTAGTTTTGGTTAATAGAATTTATTACGTATACATCAATCCTATACTTGCATATATATATATATATATATATATATATATATATAGAGAGAGAGAGAGAGAGAGAGAGGAGAGAGAGAGAGAGTGTGTGTGTGTGTGTGTGTGTGTGTGTGCACACATAAGTATTTGTCGATGCGCGGGCATCCAATTTTCTTTCGCATTTAACCCTTAGAATAAATGAATTCATAACTTTCCCTGGTGTATTTCTGAGAAATTTTATGTTCGTGAATACGAAACCCGGTCTTAGATTCCACATTACCCTTTACCTTAACATCCATCAAACAGACACACGCGTCGCGCGCACACATACACACATATATGTATGTGCATTTATATATATATATATATATATATATATATATATATATATATATATATATATATATAACGTCACTTGATAAGACACCATAATTGTCGAAAAGAATTGCAACATTTGAAGTGACATTTATGGCATGCATATGTCATAAATTTTAATATTTATATATATATATATATATATATATATATATATATATATATATATATATATATATCATCCCTGATCGCCCATGACAACTCTGAGATTCATGCACGATGCTATCTTCAGGTGTGGAGCATGACCCATCGTTATACAATTATAGTATTTGTCATTATAACAATGTTGGTGTAATTGTACATTCTGCTGGGATTACAGTTTATTAATTTTAAAATTATATTTCGCAGTTAATCGGGATTTATATACGTTTGTTAAAAAAGGAAATTGAACAGTTATATTATGAAATTGATTTAGATTTAAATAGAAAGTTAATTAAAGACAGATCACTTGTTCTTATTCTAAAACAAGCGGTATGTTATATTTATTATTATATATATATATATATATATATATATATATATATATATATATATATATATATATATATATATATATGTCAATCAACTCTAACGCAACAATGACTACTAGGGCTAATACTGCAAAACTCTTCCATGAACTTAACCCTCTCAGTAGTTACTGTGTATATTCGAAGAATTTATACATAAAAATTCGCTTCTCTTTCTACAGGGTGTTGATAGTTCAGGGGTAAAAATCTGAGTGGTACCAAATCAGTTGGGTTTTGATACCGACTTGGGGGTAATCGGATGTCTAGTCACGAAACAGTCTATCCGTGGATCATTTATATTGATATACATACATACATACATACATATATATATATATATATATATATATATATATATATATATATATATATATATATATATATATATATATATGTATGTCTGCGTCTTTATATATATATATATATATATATATATATATATATATATATATATATATATATTAAATATAAATGACAGTAGGAAAACTGTAGTTATTCCCAAAGCAAAAAACGAAATGAATGTAATTAAAGAACGTTAATAATAACAAAGAACAGAATGTTCTTAGCAATTAATCTATGCCTAGGCTTTTTCCCTATGTCACCTTTCTTAACAGAATTACTTCTCTCCCAAACAAGCGTACACAACAATATCGTAAAATGAAAAGAAAATTGTTGAATCCTCCAACACAGTTATAATGATAATATTCTCCACGCGTGACAATAACTGATGTTATTTTCAGTTAACAATATGAATATATATATATAGTTAAGTTATGAAAAACTTGATAATCCGTATGGGTAGTCCCAAGGAGGATGAAATCCTGAGAGCTCAGCGTAAATCCAGAGCTAATATTTTAAAGAAAAACAGACTACTTAAAGGTTCCATTATAATAATTATTTCACCAGAACCCTTTTAAAAGACGCTGGAACATCAGATAGCACTTCCAAAAAGATGAACCGAAAATTGGTCTGTTTTCTTTTAATATATATATATATATATATATATATATATATATATATATATATATGATGTTTTTGACGAAAACGAAATGAATTTAATTAAAGGACGTAACTAATAATAACAAAAAAAACAGAACGTTCTTAACATTTAATCTACGCCCAGGTTTTTTTCTTAACAAAATTACCTCCAAACAAATGTACACAACAATATCGAAAAATGAAAAGAAAATGGTTGAATCCGCCAACACAGTTATAATGATAATATTCTCCACACGTGACAATAACTGACGTTATTTTCATTTAACATTATTAAAATAGCGTTCTGTACATTTCTCCAGTTGCTAAGAACATTCTGTTTTTTGTTATTATTAGTTAGGTTCTTTAATTAAATTCATTTCGTTTTTTTGCTTTGAGAAAGCCCAAAATCAACGAAACGCGTCAGCAATAACTACAGTTTTCCTATTGTCATTTATATTTATAAATATTGTCTTTTCTACAGGTTAACTCTGAGAAATTTTCATATATATATATATATATATATATATATATATATATAAAAATATATAGAAAATAGGAAAAAAGAACTCGTTAGGTACATAATCAAAAGTTCTTTAGTATTTTTTTTATTACTTTTAAAAAATAGTGCTTGATACAAAAGTAGAGCATAAATATAATTATTTATTTAAAATATGATTCAACACGCTACATAAGAGTTCTCATTTTTCAAAACAAGAGCCGAAATCTTCAATATAATTATTTGAATTAAATTGAATTAAAGTAAGCCCTGTTCCATCTTCAAGCGAAATTTTTGAAGATAGAACAGAGCTTAGTAATTTAATTCAATTTAATTCTAATAATTATATTGAAGTTTTCGGCTCTCGTTTTGAAACATGAGAACTCTTATGTAGCGTGTTGGAATCATATTTTTAACTAAATATATAATTATATATATATATATATATATATGCGCATACATATTACGTTTTTATAGTGGGTACTTCGTATCTAAAACAGACGCGGTATTTTTGTGTATTTATATTCATTATTTCATAACTTCCCTGGTGGGGGATTTATGCGAAATGAAAGTCCAGGCATATGAACTTAGCACTTTGATTTATAATGTCATGTTTCAAATCTCCACAAATGTGTCTGTGTGTCTAAGTTTCCCTGAAGTGTAGGTTTGTGCAAATGACGTCTTTCGTATTTCTCTGCCACGCGCAAAAGACTGAAAGATGAAACTTCCGGCAAGCTTTTCCTTGCAATCAAATCTGACCGGAACAGCCACTCGATAGGCTGTCATGTATATTTTCAACTGATTTATATCCAGTCATGATAGGTGCATTTCGACATTTACTTACTCAGACGATAATTTCTTTATCACAGTTTTTTTTTTTTTCGGGGTGTCATTATGTTTTGGGGTTTAGCTTTTGAAAATGTTTTCCTCCTTTAATTAGATTACTAATTAATTGACGGCTGTCTGAAAAAAAAATGGCTTTGGCATCAGCATATATAAGATAGCTTTATTCATTGCTTACACCTATAGTTTTGCAGTTCAGACAAAAATTGCAACCTCTACCAGTCAAAAGCTTACGGCTTAAAAAATATTTTTTTACCAGATCGTTACACACGAAATAATCCATGAAGCGAAATTGTAGCAATAAGCTAATTTTATTCTGGTTATACACTTACGTTGAAGATGAAGAGACAAAAGTAAGAAGATGTGAACTGTCTAATGAGCGAGTATACCGTTTTGCGTTGCGGCAAGCAGTCTCTTGTGTCTTTCTTTGACTTTTACTGATGAAGGGATATTATTATTACAAATAAATAAAAATAAAATAATCGTAATAATAATAATGAAAATTATAAATTAAATCAAATAAAACATTAACATTAAAACGTTGTATATTTCAAATTAAATAGAAATTAAAAGAATACACATACACCTAGTATGCACCAAAAACTGTTCCTGTGAGAAATACGAAGATCCCGCCAAAACATGTTACATTCAATCTCTTCACTACGAACCTTGATACGGGCAACATGTGAAGAACTTCTCTCTGTTATTTAGTTTATAATACTACGGAGTAACTTCCCCTTTTTATTACGTAAAACAAATGTAACCTGAAAATACACATAAAAATATCAATAAACAGTATGAAAGTACCATACAATTTGCTATGCTTATCCTGTTATTTGTGAATAAAGGCCTACTGAAGGAGCATGTATCATTTCAGACAAATAAACTTGGTTAGACGGTACCTTTCGTTGCAGCCGGTGGTTGTGCTAGCCTGAAGGCAAAAATCATCGTCACCGAGGGTTTGTTGATCACGGTAAATAACCTGCTTTCTTTCAGAAACTGATACTAAAATCCAATCAGCATAGATGCAGTATATACTGGAGATTGATTCTGTGGGTTTCAGTAAACAAAAATGTGCCTGAGCAGGCGGCTGGAATGGAGATAAGCTAGTCGTCTTAATAGAATTTCATCATC